AGTGTTTCCAGGCCGAAGAAATGGACACAGAGTTTCCACACTTTTCAGATTGCCATTACAAGTGTTGCCCCACTGATCTTAGTAGCTGAATAAGTGTTTCCAGGCCGAAGAAATGGACACAGAGTTTCCACACTTTTCAGATTGCCATTACAAGTGTTGCCCCACTGATCTTAGTAGCTGAATAAGTGTTTCCAGGCCGAAGAAATGGACACAGAGTTTCCACACTTTTCAGATTGCCATTACAAGTGTTGCCCCACTGATCTTAGTAGCTGAATAAGTGTTTCCAGGCCGAAGAAATGGACACAGAGTTTCCACACTTTTCAGATTGCCATTACAAGTGTTGCCCCACTGATCTTAGTAGCTGAATAAGTGTTTCCAGGCCGAAGAAATGGACACAGAGTTTTATTTACATTCTTTGGGAACGTTGTGGTCTAAAATAAATATGATTTATCAACAAGAATATCATCAGTAACATTTCATTCTTTAGTTGTTTATTGTACGATATCCAGATGTCGTGAATAACATCAATAATTATTATATATTGAAATTAAAGTTGAGGTAGCGCCCTCTAATATACTACTAATATATTAAAATTTGAAAGTTTGAGTTATACTGATCGAAAACTGGTACAGTATTATTATTTGTCTTCACTTCAATAAATCCCATCATGCATTGCAGTTTTAATTCTGCTTCAGGTGCATGCTAAACAAAACACAACTTCTAATGCAGATATTTTGTGAGTAATTTAACTGTTTTTTTTTATCACAGTATACATTTTACTTGATATGTCCATGATTTCCCTTCAAACTAATTTCAAACAACACAACTTTAATCTTAAAACCAAGGGTCTCTGCTTTAATTGGTGACAAGTCACTTGATGTGGGGCAGTAGCCAATCGACAATCAGTACAAGACTTACTTGGTATGAAAGCTATGTCCACATGTACAAATGCCGAGTTCTTCAACATACAAAAATTCTTCAAGACATACTGGACATGTCTGTGAAAAAAGACAAGATTTGTTAGTAGTTCAATAAAGAGAGCTGATATTGTAATTTTTAATCTTTTCTAAACCAGACTTTAATGGTGTCCACTACTACTGACAATTTAACAAATTCTCATTTCTTTTACTTGGAAGAAATTTTCTCATCTGAGTGACAAAAAAGAAAAGCTTAAGAGCGGTGGCCGTCGCACAGCACGTGTTGAATTTCATGTAAATAAACAATGTATTTTACACGCATTGTGTACGTCACCATGAGTCCCATATTGAACAGAACGTGGCAACCATCACACCTTAAAGTTGCATTTCCATTTGCATTTTGTGAAACATCACTTCCAGAACAAGTTAAAAATCATTATGTAAAAAATGATGTTGCTTTTGCTTAAAATATACTATGATATACTAAAAGTAGATATACTGCCCTGACCTTTCCACACATTTCAGTTTGAAAGTACTGAAGGTTCTTATCTTTTAGACCAAGGATCTTTGCTTAGACAACCATACTTACAATGTAACTGAATTTCTAAGGCAACCACAGCCTCCTAACTACTGTGTCTAATTTAATTTAGAAATGTGATTATACAATTATTCAGTCATGTTCATATGATTAAAGAATAACAGAAAGTATTACAGAGTTTCATTGGATGGATGTGCTTGCATTGATTGTTATGTCGGGAATGGCATACCGAAATGAACTGTTGAATATAATATTATATCTTCCAAATGGACATTGAAAACAATGGTATTTTGGGTGCTAAGCTAAGCACTCATACAACACTTTGTTAGCACATACTAAAGTTCTAGACTTGGTTTTCTTAGCATTGGCTGACGTTTTTTGACCACTTAGCCCTTGCTAAGGAGCTGTATGCGAACGCAACTATCGATCAACGGTGGTGCCTCAAAGATAAGCAAAGAGAGATTGCATCTACCCATCAGCATAATCTAACATATACACACACACACATGTAGTTCATGCATATTTATCTTCAGATAATAATATTAAATATGACCAGTGACTGAGATGATGAAAAAAACTTGCTTTAGTGAAAAATAAACCTTGGAAAAATTGATAACATTTTCAGAAGGCTAGGTGGGCCAAAAACACAACAATTATTGAGACCCTTTAACTCACATCATTCGGTAACTCTTTTTTATTGGCAAACCGGACCTATAAAGAAAACAAAAATTTGATTATTTTTTTCTTCTTCTACAATTGAAATTAACACTGAACATGTGTTATAATGTGGTTATAATGCCACGTCCTGTTTGATATATTTGTTATATAATGATAAGATACATTTTTTGTTGAAATTTGAAAACAACTTTTACTCTATACTAAAATGATGGAAAACCCAAAATATATTTACTTAATAAGTTGTACAACATGGAGTTTCTCCCATGGCGCTATAATACGTAATTTAACACATGTTTTTGTGTGAGCCATCCCTATATAGGGTATGTACGCACAGTTTTGCTGACAGTGTTGCTTTAAGATGAATGATATTATGGTATATGAAAAAATAAAAAATAAACGCTCAATAAAACTCCAAAAATATGGCAATTAAAAAATTAAAGCCTACACATACGATGGATTTCAATCAGATTGGTCTGATTATTGCCTGCATCCCTGGGAACAGGCGAATGAAGATTGAAAGTTTTCACTCACTTAGGGAGTCAAAAATGTTGCAAAATAATTGTTTTTACTGATTAAAAGCTCAAATCATGATATTTAAATATGATGAACAATGATCTTGATCTCAAGACAGGTGATCATCTGAACATATTAGCCAATTTTGTTTGTGATGTTGTTTATTGGACAGGCAACTATTAATTAATTTCACCCCATTGAAAAACCCTGGCTTCAGATCCGAATAATACACAGGGATCTGAAATGTTTGGTAAATATAGAAAGCAGCTAGTACCCTTTTGAATCCCCTTTCACTGTCAGCTTGTCTTCTAAGTCTGAAAATAGAAATAACTCTTGATTAACACATGCATGCATGGAGGTGCTATTTTTTTCCATTTATTTTGGCTATCTTTGAAGTGTTTCAGAAGGCTATCACTATTAAGCATACAGGCATTAAAAATATATTGCTCTATGACACATTGCTAATGACAAGTAAATAGAAAGGTGTGGTGTGGGAACATGAATTTCTTGCTGCAAGTTTAAAAAAAATTTGAATAATGTTTTTAATTTCGATATTTTTGCTAATAAGTAAAATCTGCTAAATTATTTAATCCACATGTGTAAAATAACAAAAGAACTCATTGTTCCCCTACTAAGTTTGTAAAATTGATCAAAGCATTAATATAGTGAAATTATATGTCAGTGAAAACAAGTCATTGAAAATGACACAGTCCCCGTTAAATTTTTGAAAGTTCTCTTTGTGCTCGTCATATTAAAGCGGAGGGGTTGTCGCGCGTGTCCTTGAAACTTGAGTTCCAAGTGGCGTATACAACAGATTGTTTATTTACATCAAAACACGAGTTCATTGTAGTAGTAATATGGCCAAAAATAAAAACAGCCGTTATTCGGCCATCTTTGATCTGATTATGAAACACACTGATATGTATGATGTATGTGTACATAAATTGTGGAAATATAGCACTAAGGCCAAAAAGTCAGATGGCTGTCAATCAGCCATCCTTGACCAGATTTTGAAACAAATTGTCATGGACATGCATCCTAACATGTATAAAGTACATGTATGACAGAGCACGTTCAAGATACCGCATAAAAAAAAAGATTCCTGCCAGTCGACCATCTTTGATCCAATTGCGAAATAAATCGTCATGGACATGTATCCTAACATGTATAATCTATGTACCAAGTTTGAATGAAAACTGATAAAGCATGTCCAAAATACAACATTTTCAAAAAACACGATGGCTGCCAGTCAGCCATTTTGAATTGAATCGCTAAACCACTGCATGTGCATATGTCCCACATAAGGTACTAGGCACATGCAAAGAATGAACAGAATCTGTCCACAGGATTCTGAAATATGACTCTGAACAGACTGACGCACGGACGAACAGACACACGGACAGACAGACTCAGGAACTCATGGATGGTCGGGGACATGTATCCTAACATGTATGATCTATGTTCTAAATTTGAATGAAAACTGACAAAGCATGTCCAAAATACATCATTTTCAAAAAACAAGATGGCTGCCAGTCGGCCATCTTTGATCCAATTGTGAAATAAATCGTCATGGACATGTATCCTAACATGTATAATCTATGTACCAAGTTTGAAAGAAAACTGACAAAGCATGTCCAAAATAGAACATTTTCAAAAAACAAGATGGCTGCCAGTCGGCCATTTTGAATCGAATCACTAAACCACTGCATGTGCATATGTCCCACATAAAGTACTAGGCACATGCAAAGAATGAACGGAATCGGTCCAAGGGATTCTGAGATATGGCTCCGGACGGACGCACAGACACACAGACGCACGGACGGAGACCGAATTATAAGTCCCCGTTTTCGGACTTTGTTCGAATGGGGACTAATAAATGGTTTTACAGTACCAGGATAGTTTGAAGACTTTTTGGACATCTGAAGAATTATTCTCACTTTTTACTGGGTATGAAATTACAGTAAAGGGTTTTTCCAGTGAAACATTGATTTAATTGTAATTTTAATGTGCATATGGATTTAATTTATGAGATTTACCAGTGAAAGCAGTAAAAACAAATTCCTGTGTGAATAATTATGGTTCAAAATATTTGGGTGCCACATGTACATGTCAATTTTCAGTCTGTGCAAATATACTCAAAACCTAATGTGCATGCAGTAAACTGTTGAAATTCAGACCAATATAAAAGTTGAAAGAATATGATTCCATGACTTGAAAACAAACCCCAAAATCTCTCCAGCATAGTCAAGTATGTGTTCAGTGATCAAGTTAATCATACTGAAGTCAAAGCGATATGGCAAAAGCATGATAGTGGACATAATTTTCTGTAGTACCGGTATGTGATTTGAACACACATAGAATCATCCATATACACAACTTCATACCCCCCCCCCCAAATATATAATATTTGATGCAAATAATTCTCTAAACCACCATGCACACTACAGATGTGATGATACTCCATGTCATAAATTTGAACAGACGTGTACACCATCGTCATATATCTGCCTTCTTCACTATACACCGCACATTATATAGCCGCCACTAAAAAGGTACACTTACCTCCATAAATAACAACAGAATAACAACGTTAATAAAGTAGCGAGTCCACCTACTGCAAGGATTGGTATAGCTGCCTGGAAGGAAACAATAGTATTAGACATCGTCTAACCAATCATTGGCAAGGTGACTGCATTACAATCCAGTTTTCGGTGACTCTGAAAGTAAAGGGCAAGAATTATAAACATGTTATATGCAATGTCAAGTACATGTAACAATTAAGATCATTAAGCTCATTAACACAAACACATGATTAATTAGCATGAATAGCAAAATACTGATCTAAATTTAATATGCATCTCATAGTAATTCTACTTTAGATCAGATTTTCGTCGCCTGTATACATATATATATCAGTGTGGACAGATTGTTTTGACTACCTAATGATGTAATTTTTCAAACTATTTTAGCAAAGCCATAACATAGTGACCTATTTTAATACCTTATGAAATTATACACAGAAGAAAATAAATTAAATATGAAAAATCAAATATTTAAATTGATGGAAAGAAAGCAAATTTGGTCATTTCCCTTATAATAAAAACAAGCAGCCTGTCGGCTGAGATAGCACCGCTGTTAGCAATGCACATTTCAATTAAGAACTGAAGGTATCATTAGAAAATGAACAATATGTATAGTATCAAAGCAAAGAATTCAAAAATATCACTTTTCACCAAAAATTACAAAAATATTCACTTAAATTATAGATTTGAAGATATCATCACGAAATGAACAAATCTGAGAGATCCACATGTAGTACCTATATATGTAATATCAAAGCAATTGGACTTGCGGTTTTCAACAAGACGTTGAAAATATCACTTTTTCCAAAAATGACAAAAATATTCACCAAAATTAGAGAATTGAAGATATCATCATGAAATGAACAAATCTAAGAGAGGTCTATCCAAGGTACATATACACCAAGTATCAAAACATTCAGGCTTGTAGTTTTCAAGAAGTCAAAAAAGTAAAACATTGACACGGACGACGAAGGACGACCACTCATATGATGAGCTCTGTTCGACAAAGTCGACAGCGGAGCTGAAAAGCGATTATGTTGAAAGTTGTCCTGTATATATAAAAAATATGCATTTACAGGACATTAAAGGGACATCACATGGGAATGACGGTTTACCCTCCGAATTTTATCTTTATTTTTGGCAGTCCCTGGGTAACACGCTTGTTAAAGAATTGAACTATGCATATGTCAATGGAACTCTTTCAGCGTCTCAACGCCAAAGTATAATAACATTAATAGACAAAAAGGGAAAGGACAAACGCTACATAAAAAATTTG